AAAAAATGTCATAGTATAGCATGTCGTCCAAAAATATGAAAAAAAAAAAAACGTCATAGTATAGCATGTCGCCCAAAAATATGAAAAAAAAAACGTCATAGTATAGCATGTCGCCCAAAAATATGAAAAAATGTCATAGCATAGTATTTCGTCCAAAAATATGAAAAAAACGTCATAGTATAGTATGTCGTCCAAAAATATGAAAAAAAGTCATAGTATAGCATGTCGTCCAAAAATATGAAAAAAAACGTCAGTGTAGCATGTCGTCCAAAAATATGAAAAAAACGTCATAGTATAGCATGTCGTCCAAAAATATGAAAAAACGTCATAGTAAAGCATGTCGTCCAAAAATATGAAAAAAAAACGTCATAGTGTAGCATGTCGTCCAAAATTATGAAAAAAAAGATAGTTTAGCATGTCGTCCGAGATAATGAAAAAACATCATAGTACATCCAACAATATGAAAAAACAGTCATAGTATAGCATGTCATCAAAAATCATGAAAAAAAAGTTCATGAAAAATGTCATAAAAAAGTCATAGTATACTATGTGATGAAAAATGTGATAAAAACGTCATAGGTTAGCATGTGACGAGTTCATCAAAAAAGGTCATAGTATAGTAAGTCATCAAAAAGTCATAGTATAATATGCTAAAAAAATTCACAGTACAGTATGTTATTCACCATATCAGGGAATCATGAATGTTTATAGAATATTTTATGGCCAAAGGTTTAAATGATGTAGTTGTGTTATTGGTCTGAATCATCTGCCTCGTTCTTAAAAAACAAAGCAAAGTACTAGCAACAGGAAAAAAGCACTCTTAAAATAAAGCAAAATAAATCAAATCATCCAAATAAATTATGAATAGCTCTTACAAGGATGTTCATGTGGTGATTATTTATTGATGCTGAAAGGCTACAAAAGCACTGTTGTGTGTGTGTGTTTGTGTGAGTCCATGCATTTGTGCTCCTGTGTACAGCTGAACTTGTTTGAGCTAAAAATAAAAACGGTGAAGCACAGAAAATACAGAATGACTCAGGAGAACCTGATCTTGGTCTGACTCATATTGTAAGAGACCAAAAAACTTATTAACTTACTATTATCATGAATAAATAAATAATCATATTTGAGAATTTAGAAGTATGATGAAATGAAGAATATAAATAATATATAATGCATAGTCCAAATTCCAATCCTGTATTCATGTGTTAATTATTGTCAAAAAAAAAGTTATTGTATTTTCCTTTCCTGTGAAGTCTCAGCTGCATATTTATCCAATCAAATGTGATTTGTGTTAACTAGCTCACCCCAACAATCATATTAAATCCCATTTGACTGTTAGCTCGGGCTGTGGCTACAACAGAATCATAGTAGGACTTGGTTTGAATGTCAGTCTGCAAAAACCTTAAAAAGTGTGTAAATGACACACATACCTATTGAAGAAAAAAAAACCTATCCAGGTGGGAAAAAACAAATGTCTTCATTTTGTCTTTAAGTGTCAAAGCATGGTGTGCAGCTGTGTGAGAACCTGTGCGTCAGAACATCTATTATTTAGGAGCACAAACACGGATGGTGAGACGTCCCACAGTGTTTGAGGAGATGAAATGCAACCTAATGTTGAACATGGAGGGAGTTCTTTCTCTTCACAGCTATGGCTTCATCAGCAGTTTGACACTCAAAGTAGTCTGGGATGTTACACCTCCTCTACGGAGGGGATACGCTCTGTGTGTGTGGAGGGAAACACCTGCACAGATCCAAACATAATCTACCTGAACAGACGTGTTTACCAGGGATTTTCATTGCGTTTCTGACTACATGAAAAAAACCTTGATCCAAATGACACCCATGTGCTCTGTTCCAAAATGTTATTCACTCAAGAGCTTCAGGAAAATAGCTCAATTTAATTTGTTATTAGGCTTTTAAAGGAGAATGGCAGCCCTGTAAGGCGTCCCATTTATTATTCAAAATGACACAACATAGCATCATCCTCGTTTTCTACATCTAGGACAACACGTCTAATGCCCTTTGCACTCCACCTGTGATTGAGCATGAATAAGGATGGTCTTTTTGTTTTAGTATTTTTTTTATATATATGTTGTTTATATATATATATATCTGATATA